TAAAATATTCATTGATTCATTAGTTACAAAATTTCAAAGTAAAAAGGGCAAATCGAAAAAACACATCGATTTATTAAGCTCAATTACTCGGAAACGGCTCGTCTGACGAAAATTTTCAATCCGACCTTTTTTGTAGAGAATTTAATTTTATATAAAAATAAGTGAAAAGGAATTTTTTTCACTTTAATGTTTTGACAGTTCTAACGTAAAACATCAAATTATGACTAAAAATCAAAAATAGCGATGATAGACCTCTTAAAATTAATATTAAGGGCTCAAATTTTCACGAAATATTTTTTTTGTCATTCTGAATGACATTCTCGTTATATTTTTCAAAAAAAAAAATAGTCCATTTTTTTGGCCCAGTCTAGTATACAGGTATTTGATTTGGTATTGAACCGGCGCGGGTTTATTTTTAAGTCGCGTTTATACTAAAAAGTTCACGCTCGGTCGGAGCTGGCGGTGCTCGGTTGTAAACATTATGTGATCGACTGTGATGAAATTAAGTTGGAATTGCGCGGCACCGTGCGCTAAAAATTGAAATATACAAGGACAAATTTAAATTTATTCACTACACCAGAGTATTAAGTTACATAATGTCTGTGCTTGGTTCACAAATTAATAACGCAACGGAAAACATTATCCGCGGCGACTATACACTTCCTTAATTTTTCCAGACTTTTATAAAGTTATTAAAAAAAATTGTAAGCTGACTCAAAATTTTCTGACTTTTCCCTGACTTTACTCGACTTAAAACGGATTTCCTGACTTTTACAGGTTTTTAAGGATTTCCAGGCGATAGGGAACCCTGCAATCTGCAAAACGGTTTTAACCTCAATTTTTTCCCCAATTTAATGCACAGGTTACTTAATGTACGAACAAAATGACAAATTGTATGAAAATGTAGATACATAAATGTGTACGTTTACATTTTTCAAAATTCCCAGGAATAACGAAGTTATAACGATTTTTGTTTTTAAAAGGTTTTTCGTTGTTTTCAAATATTTTGAGAACCGCTGGCTTTTTTTCTAATTTATAACTTTCATTTGAATAGGCTTATAATAACGCAACTTTTATTTAATTTAACCGACCTTGTAGCTCTTTAAATAAAAAAAATTACCCATAGGTGTATACTGCCTTAAATTTAAATGATCTTTTGTCCGTTATTACTTAATATTGTAGATACGGCAGTTTTCCTTAGCGGGACAGTATACACATAGAAGGATACTTGGTGCCAGGCGCAGATACAGGGGGGCAATGGGTGCAATTGCCCCCCCTAAGTAACGACCGAAGCACTTTATTTTTTAGACAAACACAGTAATATTACATGCATGTATTATATAAAAAAAATGTATAAGGAATTTTTTGAAAGATAGATTTTACAAAAACAAATTTTGTAGGGTATACCCTTATAAAGTAAAGTTTTAAAAAATAATTATATTTATTTTTGCATTTCTGACCCTAATCGCAATTTTGCTATAACTTTTTAGGTAAGCATTTCTGTTTATTGTTGATAAGAACTTTTTTTAGTTTTGTTTCATACATCACGTTCGTGAAGGCTAAGTATTTTAGTATTACCAGTACAAGATAGTTACTATCTGTGGATATTAAAACGAAATATTGTGATAGTCTAAATTTTGAATATTTGTTACAATAAAAGTAAACTTAAAAGAATTACGCTTAATATTATTATTATTAAAAATCGTTTATGACAGAATTCTTAATGTTTTATTTATTTTCGTACAATAAAAGTAAACTTAAAAGAATTACGCTTAATATTATTATTATTAAAAATCGTTTATGACAGAATTCTTAATGTTTTATTTATTTTCGTGCACTGTGCGGCGCGTTTTAAGCGATCTCTGCTGGTAAGATCGTTAATGCAAGATAATAGCAACCGACCACGGTTCGTAGGTACTAACGTGTTGTGTGTACTCGCTCACTTTACCACTATTTTATTGATTTTTATTTTTAGATCGACTATTTATAAACACTTTGTGTTACACGATATTAAACTTTTCTTTCTTCGCAACATTCAACTTTATTGACAATTATAAATTGATATAAAATATGTATAATACCTGCATACTTTCAAAAATGGCGCTCAAATTTTCTAGCTAGTTTTATCGCAAAAAATATGTTAATTTCATACATTTATTTTTTATCGGTCGCAATGTGTTAATAATAAAATAAAATAATTTTTTATTGTCGCATATGACGCGTACCTTACGTATTTAATTAATGCAACTTGAATAGGGATTACCTACTTTAAATCAGTCGTAAATATTTTTTGTGCATTTTGCTAAAAAGGTAATATATAATTTTGCATTTTCTTTATTTTGACCTCTAAAGATTTCTATTACAATGACACGCTGTTATTGTTTTTTTCCATTTATATATTTTAAATTAATATTCAATTTTAAATGTTCTTATCGTGTATAAATTTTGCGTTTGACCTTCATATGTATTCGCTTGTTTAGTAAAAAAATATCGTTTTTATATTACTAGGTGATTCCTGTGCGCACAAATTTACCAATTTTTAACATTGCATTTATGTTTATTAATATTATCTTTCAATATAACCTTTTTGGGTGCGCCACTGATCGAAACTGATTGACAATAGTTCAGTTGTTGCTAAGTTCTCTACCAAAACTTTCTTTTTATACTTTTTCAGTAAGTAAATTTTCAATTCAAATTATTTATCTTCAAGAGTTCTGTTATTATAAACTTTATCATTGTCAACACGCATTTTAGACCAATCGCGTAAAGTTTTTACCTCCTAGTCTGTAAAAACCTGTTTGGATCATTAAAACAATTCGATAACTGTCAGATCTACCTAACCTCACTCAATATTTCATAATTATTATTATTGTACGTTTTATGTATCGTTTAACAAATGTTGTATGCCATTTAGCTATAGCTAAGAAGTGTATTTTTGTGCTTCGCTCAACCATTGAGCTTAGCGCAAAACGACTTACTTCTAAGCTAGATGACATAACTATTTCTAGATTGTTAGGCAAAAAAATGCCACCGGAAGAACAGATAATTTCGTTACTAATGACGCCTAATTAGTTTTTTAAAAAATGATAAAATTTTATCGAAAATATTAATAATTTTGGGTGCTTTAATTTAAATATTTTTAAAATGACCTATAGCTGATTACCAACTTTGGTGCTGATGGTTCAAAATGTTTGTTTTTTGTCGTCGCCATATTTGGTAAAAATTTAAATTATTAATTATTTGGAAACCTGATGTTTATCAATTTGTTGTTGATAAGATAAGTTTTAATTTTATCCTGTATAAGCAACCTACTAACTTTGTAATTTAGTGAGTATAATTTGTTAAAATTGTTAAAATAATGTATATTAAGGTATTTAAAAACATTTTAATTGTAGATTGTAGTTAACATTTAAAATAATACTGTCACCTCTAATTTTATATTTTTAAATCATTTTAAACAAATTAATTTATTTGTTGTTTTACCTTGTAAATATTTGCCAAATAAGAAATCATTTGTGCCTTAAATATAATTTTTATTATTATTATTATAAGCACGTAAAACATTTGAACTTGTACAAAATAGTACTTTTTGACCTCACTCTAGGACAATATTAATATTTACCTACCCGTTGTGTGTAAAGAATTGGTAAAAGTTACTGACTTTCATAAACTAATTAATTAAGTTTTAAATGATGAACAATTACAGTTAATTGCTGATAATTAAAAAAATGTAATTTACTTATTATGAACATAAAATTTAATATAATTGTAAACATTTGTTTGTCCTGAACTTAATATTGTTATTTTAAGATCTTAATATTAGTATTGTAAACAAGTGGGTAAACATGGCAGCCAGAAAAAGGATAGTAACTTTTATGAACCAAATTATAATTTTAAATAATGGAAACTTTTGCGCTTTATAACGTGTTGTGAAATAAATGGGTATGATAACATTTTACAATTAATTTGTTTATAAAATAAACGTACGTTTTTTATTCCGATAGTCTTTGTGTAATACTTTTTAATGACGGAGTAAAACATTTTTCAGGTATATAAACTGGCTACCTGATTGTTAAATTTAACTGTTTTAGTTTTTTAAGTCGTTTGGGGGTGTTAGTTTTCCAGTGCAGGGTTGAAATAGTAAAAGCTTTTCTAGTTTTAAGCATTAAAATTATAGTTAATCAATTTTTATATGATTTTAAACTCCAGAAAATTTTGTTGTGTAATTTTTTTCTTTATATTTTGATAATATTATTTATATTTTTTATTACTGTTAAATAATGTAAGGCCTGATTTTAGAAAGATTTAAAACATGTTTAGAAGGTTTTCAAATATTTAAGAAATACTAAGTTGATTTGGGATATGTTTTTGTTAAATTAAAATTGTAACATGTTATTTTATATGTATAGGCTTTACAAATGAAGTAAACCTTTTGAAATATTTTTATTATTATTATATTAAATCTTATGGCTAAAAATGATTTTGCTTAAAACTATGTATCTGCGTGGTTTCGAGGACACCCTGTGGCACAGGGCCTTTGCAGTCGACGTAAGTCTTGGATGGACCTATGTGTTGCGTGATTATGGACGTGTAATTTTTATTATCGCCGAGAGAGCGGGTGACGTACGTTGTCGGCTAATCGCTCTCCTCGAAAACACAACATTCTAAATTTAATTTTATTACTAGTTAGTTGGTCGTTCGTGTAAAGTAAATATGACTGTTCTATTATGCTAACGACTGTAACGCATTCTCGGTTCTCTTTCCGATTTCTTGACGCGCGAATAACATATCGGCGTTTCTCGCTGCTCGCTCGCGTTTACTAACAAACCTGAAAACGTTGCACGGCATATACATTCGTGAAGAGAGACAAATATTGAGAGACCAGTTCGTACTATGGAAACGGCCGACCGATTTGTAAAATGCTGCTTTTAGTTAGTATTTTTAATTTTCCGAAATTCTGGATGTTTCGTTTGCTAATGTTCTTTTTTTTTTCGTTTCAGATGTCCGCTGGATCTCAGATACAGATGGCACCGCAGTCCACAGTCAACACAACCCAACCCGTGCATAGCCAAGACTCCAACATGAGTACAGGTACTTTACCCAAGCACTGGGTTTCTGATTTTTTTTTTAAATTCCAGTATTGATTTTTGGCACTAAATGATCGTTCATAAGGTAATAGCTGAGGCCACGTTGTCAAATCCATCGCCGCAACTAAGTTCGTAATTTTTGTCGATAAGATGTCCAACGTTGTAGACTAAAAATACTGTGTATTATGTCTTATAATTATCGTGCAATACTTTAACAGCAGATTCTACCTACAAAAAATAGGAAAACAGTTCCTTTAAACATAGGAGCTACATCCCCCGAAAGAGGAGTCCCTGATGATGGTTTTTATTTAATATCTCCAAAACTTTTCAAGATAGAAAAATAAAATTTTGAGAATTCATCAAACACCCTGTTACATTGCATAAAATATCACCTTTCTTGAATAATTTTTCTTAAACATAGCAGCCGTGTTCCATGGTCCAAGCTGAATCTTTTTCTCTCTTTCATTATGAATTTTTATGCCATGTAAGGTAATTTTCAAATCGATTTAAAGCGAAAATGGTAAATATTAGTTCAACAGGAGGACCTTTTTTGTGTATAAAACCTCCAAAAACACGTACCTACAAAAAAGGTGGTTTTACCCTTACTCCCTATCTATCTGACCCACCCCTCATGGAAAATTTAAAATTGTTATTATGACATCTTATTGGGCATAAAAAGTTTGATCAACTCCCAAAATTTCACGTTTCTATCTTGAACGGTTTTGTAGATATTAAATAAAAACCATCTACAGGGGCTCCTCTTTCGGGGGCTGTAGTTCCCTTTGGAAGTATTTCTCGACCTATGTTTATAGGATTTTTATTTTATTTTTGTACGTAGAATCTGCTGTTAAAGTATTGCACGTTAATTATGGGATACCCTCTATGTACATGTATAGGTGGGGATTATGGGGATTTAATATTTCTACATTGTTATTTTGGCCAACAATTTTTCTGGGGTAATTTGGGTGCGCCGATTACAAAAATGATCATTTTGCTCAATTAGCTGTTGTCTTCAAGATATTGCAAAAAAATGCCTTTTATCGACATGCAAACATTAAACTCGTATATATATTTTTTTTAATCAAATACTTTAACCGAGGATCATTGTTGGTGTAGCTGTGGGTTCTAATTAAACTAAAAAAAATTATACACATTCATAAAGTTTTTCCCCTTGAAAATCCAGTTTTAACCATATTAAAAATTTAATCTAAATTTATACTGTTGATAAGTTACTTTTATGTTCATTTGATAAGTTATTTTTATGTCCATTTTTTACCAAATCTTTTTGACCATTTAATGAAATAGGATTGGATACAAAAATTGTTAATAAATGGTAATTATTTATTTAAACTGCGAATGACGGTAGCGTGGTTGTCAGGGGTGACTTATCGTCGATAAGTTATCCATGACCGTGGTCCTGCTGGAGAACCGAACCTAATTGACTGCCTATAAGCTGAAAATATAATTTTAAATCGTTTGTCATACCTCAAAAATGCCATATTTCTAATATACATGGAATGTGTGGTTTTTCTTTTATAACCACAAATTAATAAAAAAAATCAAAAATAAAAGTTTCTTAAAACATTTCAATGCATTTAATTTTTGCATCTGCTCTTTGTCCCCATTGCTAATCGATAGCCGGGATTGGCCATGTCATCGGATCCAGGTTAATTTGCCTGGGCGACGTATTATTCGAAAATTTAGCTCTACCGAGTCGCGATAGTTTCGGTGCGTTCCACAGGTTCTCTCCGCTCCTGTTTTTAAGTACGTACGTGTGTACATTTGGCAACGCTTGTTTTTAGACAATGGCCCCCGTCGTCGTATTGACCTGAATTTGTTTTGACTAAGCCAGCAATGAATTTTTTTAATCTTTGAACAGCTTGTACCTAAAAACAATGCCTCCTTCGTGGTTTAATTGTTCTTGTATCGTTTACGTTATAATTATATCTACCCACTTGTTTTAAATAAAAATAAATTAAAATGTACATATGTATGTATTTTACCTTTCGCCCTAACCAAATGCAATAAAATGTGTAGTTTACAATATGACAAGATGACTGTAATAGTATATTCTGTAACAAGTTTGGAATAGGGCATATTCCGCTCGAGTGAAAAGTTTGTCACCTTTTTTGTAGGAAATTGAATAAAGTCCTTTTTACTTTTTTTTTGTAACTTAAACCATTTTGTTGTTAACTATAGTCTATATGTTGTTTACAATATTTGAACGTAATATTTTGAAACTATGGACTTTCTTGCATTAATGATAATGATCTTTTTTATATAAATCTGTTTTACTTTTTTCCTCTAACTTAACAGTTTTGCCGTAAAATGGAAAAAATACTGTTTTTTATAAAAAATAGAAATATATGAGTTAACTCCAATTGGCTGAAAGGAAAAAATAAACTGAAGAAAATTTTAAAACCTAAATTTACATGGTACAAAACGTTATACTTAAAATAAAATTAATAAAGATTTCATAGAAAATAAAAAGTATTTTTGGAATTAAATAAATTATTAATAAATCATAAGAGATAGGGGAGAAATTGGTATTTATAGAATGAGTAAATTAGTAAAATCAAATAATACCCAAATAATACATTGGAAATATATAAAATACGAATTCCTTAATCCATTCTTCCTTATAATTTTTTTTAAATTCACAAAGCACTTTTGGTAAGCCAATCAAATCGCGCCATTTTCATTGTTCGTGTCGAGTTTATTTTGCTCAAATTTTCGAATATTGTAGCACCCGTTTTACTATTTAATTAAATTAGAAGTATTTATTAAATCTATAATTTAATTCAAGAATTAAATCACTAAATTAATTTATACCAACCCTGTAAGAAAATGTATGTATCTATTAGTTTCTTTAAATATTTGGTTATATTTTTTAAAATATTCCACACTTAACATAGTAAAAAATATTTGTTTAACTAATATTCATTAATATTTCTATTATGCATTTTTTATATTTAAGTCATTAATGTCCTTTTAAAAGTACTTTGCTATTATTATAAATTGATTAACTCATCCTGTATAAAACTTAATTTTAATTAAAAACACATGTTATAATTATTTATTATATTTACTTATACGGGTGACGTTTAATTGAATTCAAGGTGGCGACAAACTAAATGTTTCTTTTAAATTTAAAAATTGAACAATGCCAATGTCTGATTGATTAGTGTCAAGGGAAAATGGAAAAATCGATTAACAAAAAAAGCGTTAAACGTCGTAATTTTCATTTTTTACCTGGATTCGAATTTGCATTAAAAAAAAGTTCCAATTTTCAGGCAACTTTGGTTAAAATAGCTTAAGTTTTAAAAGGGAATAAACGTAACCAAACTAAATTTTTGAATGTGTTGTTAAATAAATTTTCTGTAAAAATGTGTTATTAATTTGGAAATAAAACGTACCTTGATCAGTTTTATAATCTTATTTTTAAATTTGACGTAATTTATAACATATTTTTTAAACTATTTATATATTTTTTTTACTCCCACCTAAAAACGCCCATTATTGTACATGTTTATATAAAACTACGCCAATGTTCTGAAAAGTTTATATGAACTTGTGTACTTTCTTTTTGATTTCGCCGGCAGTAAACTAGTATTTGCCGATAAAGCATTTCGGGTGGACTATCCATAAAACATCCTCTTCACTTTCACTGTTAGTCCATTTTCAAGGAAGAAATTTACAACAACAAAAAAGCCGATAAAACAGATTCCTAACATCAATTTGATTAATCTTTTTTTGTACAGATGCCTCTCTATACAAATATTTAAATTAATTAGTAATAAATTATATTTTAATACATAATATAATAAATTTTTCTATACATTTCACAACCATTAATAAATTAAATTCGTATATTACAGTTGTACAACCCCTGGCTACAATTATTTATGAATCAGGTTTAAAATTCAGGGGTGTCTAGGGAAAAAGCATATGCAATAATTTTGAAGAGGTGAAAATACCAAAAAAAATATAATTATCATTCCCAATTCATTTTAATCTAATTAACATGTTTAATAATATATTATACCTAAAACTGGGTACATTGTTTTGTAATTTATAAGGGTCCTGTAATTATTATATTTATTTGTTTATTCACATATGCATGAGACTGGTCAGTTACTATACGGTGCTGAAGGTTGATTTTATAAATACATTCATTAACAAATGCGAAAATTCTTTGCAAGATTCTTTATATAAAACACTTAATAAAATAATTTAACCTATTATCATTAGCAAACGTTAAATGCTTTGGTAAACAATTTATGTGTATATTGTTTCTTTTGCAAGGACAAATTATAGACTTTGTTTCATATATTTTTTATTTAACATTTTATTCCGAATTTAATTACCATAAACAAAATATTTAAAAATAAAAATATATCTGGAACTGTTACTATGCTACATTTAGAATTAAAATGTCCACTATAGAGGTGGCAAAATTGCTTCTGCGTATATACAGCATGGATGGAAAAATACGAATAATTTAATCAAGGCTAACAAAATCATGCAAATGATCTATAAATTGGTCACGTGGTACTTGTAATGTTTTAAATAATCAATAAAAACAATAATTAAATAGTTACGTTTAAATTTATTTTTGATCGATAATGTATTTGTGATAAAATATCAAAACAATGAACTTTGAACTTAAATGGATTTGTAAAATGGTGGAATATTTATGTTATACTATACACCTTCTGGCAATATTTTCTCATGACATCACCGTCAGCGGGCACCTTATTTGTCTCGGTGCTGTACTCTCATTTGGCCGAATTAAAAATAAAACTAATTGACTGTTTTATAAAACAGAGCATAATAACCATTCCGTTTTCACGATTTGAATCAAATTTCACAATGAAAAAGTTCATGCAAGAAATGCTTAAAATAATAGTTAACATTTTTTCTACGACTCTCTGTAATCTGGGTCATTTGTATAGTCTAGCATAAAATTATTTTCTCTTAAGTCGTATCGATCGAACTTTTGTT